AAAAAAAAAAAAAAAAAAAAAAAGAAAGAAAGAAAGAAAGAAAAGGAATAGTTACTGTACAGCTCACAACATGAATGAACCTCACAGACAATATGCTGAATAAAAGAAGTTGGAGCTGGGCGCAGTGGCTCACGCCTGTAATCCCAGCACTTTGGGAGGCTGAGGCGGGCGGATCATGAAGTCAGGAGTTCAAGACCAGCCTGGCCAGCTGGTGAAACCCTGTCTCTACTAAAAATACAAAAAATTAGCCGGGCATGGTGATGTGTGCCTGTAATCCCAGCTACTCGGGAGGGTGAGGCAGAATTGCTATAACCTGGGAGGCAGAGGTTGCAGTGAGCTGAGATCGCGCCACTGCACTCCAGCCTGGGCAGCAGAGCAAGACTCCATTTCAAAAAAAAAAAGGAAGTTGGACACAACAGTACATCTATTGAATTACTTCACTTATATTAAGTTCTAGGATAGGTAAAACTAATCTCTGGTGAAAGAAAACAGAAAGGAAGTTGCTTGGGGGAAAGATCACTGGGAAGGGCCATGAGGACATTTTCTGAAGGGCTGGAAACGTTCTATGTCTTAATGAGGGGTGGGTTACATGAGCATATATACCTTTAACAAAACTCAAAGAATTGTACACTTTAAGGTTTGTAGGCCAAGCGCAGTGGATCATGCCTATAATCCCAGCACTTTGGAGGCTGAGGTGAGAGGATCACTTGAGCCCAAGAGCTCAAGATCAGCCTGGGCAACATGGCAAAACTTCATCTCTACAAAAAAAAAAAAAAAAAAAATACAAAAATTAGATGGATGTGGTGGCATGTGCTTGCAATCCTAGCTACTTGGGATGCTGAGGTGGGAGGATCACCTGAGCCCAGGAGGTTGTAGCTGCAACGAGCTGTGATTGCACTACTGTACTCCAGCTTGGGAGACAGAGTGAGACCTTGTCTCAAAAAAAAAAAAAAAGGATTGCACATTTTACTGTATGGAAATTTTACCTTAAAAATAAAGGCCTAGGCTGAGTGTGGTGGCTCATACCTGTAATCCCAGCACTTTGGGAGGCTGGGATTGGCGGATCACCTGAGGTCAGGAGTTCGAGACCAGCCTGGCTAACACTGCGAAACCCCGTCTCTACTAAAAATATAAAAATTAGCTGGGCATTGTGGTGCATGCCTGTAGTCCCAGCTACTTGGGAGGCTGTGGCAGAAGAATCACTTGAATCTGGGAGGTGAAGACTGCAGTGAGCAGAGACTGGACCACTGCACTCCAGCCTGGGCAACAGAGCAACACTCCGTCTCAAAAAAAAAAAAAAAAAAAAAAAAAAAAAAAAAGGCCTGAGGAGGCAACTGAGTGCTAGACAGGCAAGGGTCCTGACCTTTGTGAACTTTTAGTCCTGGAATGACAGGCAGGTAACTAAGCAAACACAGCAGAAAGCATTAAATGCAATGATCATGGTAATATGAGCCACTGAAGGGAAGGGCCCCTTATAAGGGAGGGGCACTGAATCCATTCTGGATGGTCAGGAAAGTGTTCCTGGAGGAAGCAAAGTGCTAAAGGATGAATAGGAGTTAACCAGGATAGAAAGAATGGAAGTCTATTCCAAGCAAAAGATATATCAGGTGCAAAAGCCTGTGTGCAGAAGTGCATAAAGCATATGAGGAACTGAGATTTGCTTTGCTTTGCTGAAGAGCGGAGGATGAGTTGGGGCACGGTAAGAGATGAGGCGAAGTGGCTGGCAGGACCCAGCTCATCAGCTGGGAAGCCACATGAAGGACCACGGTGAGCCATGGGCAGGTATAGCCTCATGTTCAGCTATGTTCTATCTTTCTATTCCTCCTGCCCCTCAGAGCCCAGGGCTAATCCAAGCCTCCTTTTGGCCCATTCAGCAATGCCCAGTCACTTTTTTGGACCTCTTGGACAGAGCCTGAAAGGGACCCTGACTGACATGCACACCCAACACCAAGAGGCTTAGCTTCTGTTGCCTCACTTTGCATCGCTGCTCCTTGGTGGTCCTACCTCTGCTAAGACGTGTCCTGGGCCCAAGACTCAGATGTGCTTCAGAGGTGATCCTAGCCTTGAGGAGCTTCCAGTCTAATGGGGAATACAGGCAGGAAAATTAGTATAACCTGGGGTGAAAAGTACTTTGATAAAGGGCTCCTGAGCAGTGTGACTTCTGCTTCTGCTCTGGGTATAGTGCCTTTTTGCAGCTGGGTCTCTTTTGCCCACCTTGTCCTTCCCTGGCCAGGGTTCAGCATCAACTAGCACAGCACCCACATCCTGGCAGCAGACGGATGATTCTGAAGCACACCTTGGCATGGGTCCCTCCACTGCTCAAAATCCTCTATCCCCCACTGGGTCTAAGTCAAAGTCAAGCTCTTTTGCCTGGCATATCTGCAGGCCTGGTATGGATTGGCTGGAAATAAGTGTCCGCTGAAAGAGTATGTGACCTAATGACCTAGTGGATGAGTGAGCAGGTAAGAGAGGAGTGAAGCATGAGCAAGTCAGGCAATGAGTGAATAAACAGTCAGCAAAGAGAAAGTCAATGAGTCCATGAATTACCACTGGTCCCCCTGCCATCTTCTTTTTTTTTTGAGACAGAGTTTCTCTCTTGTTGCCCAGGCTGGGAGTGCAGTGGCACGATCTCAGCTCACTGCAACCTCTGCCTCCCAGGTTCAAGTGATTCTCCTGTCTCAGCCTCCTGAGTAGCTGGGATTACAGGCATGTGCCACCACGTCCGGCTAATTTTTGTATTTTTAGTAGAGACAAAGTTTCGTCATTTTGGCCAGGCTGGTCTCAAACTCCTGACCTCAGCTGATCCACCTGCTTCGGCCTCCCAAAGTGCTGGGATTACAGGCATGAGCCACCGTGCCCGACCCCCACTTCTATCTTCAGTACACTGCAAGTTACCCAAGAACAAGGAACACTGGGTGTCACGCCCCACCATACCCCACCCTGGACACTTGGTCTAATATACCAGACACGCTCAGTAACTATTTGCTAACTGAATGACTTAATCAGCAGGTGGACAAGTGACTCCAGATGCTGACTAGAAGGGCTGGGATTGGGTCGAGCAGGGTAGGGTGACTCACGGGTGCTGCAGCACGTTGGAGCACAGTGCTGGGTCCACCTTCTGCCAACAGCCCAGATGGGCGGCGGCCTTGTGCAGCAGGTCACAGTAGCTGGCAGGCAGCAGGTGCTGCATGAGGATCACGGAGGTACTGATGGACACCAGCAGGAAGAGTTCACAGGACCAGCGTTTGTCATAGTAATGTGTGTTCTGAGGGTAGCAGAAGGTGGGTGAGGCCTGGGACACCCATAAATGTCCTCATTCTCTGTCGTTCCCTGATTCTACATGACTCAAAGGTTAGGACAGTCCTGGGGAGACCTCAGAATGGCCCAAAAGCAAGAGTCAAACACCCAACAAAGAAGGCGTAGGCCCTGTGCCCACTAGTTGGTTTTCTACAGAGAAATCTGCTCCTATTGCCCACTACTCTGAGCCAGAGAACAGGATCTAGGGTCCAAGAGACCTGAATTCAAATCTTGGTTCCTTTGCTTATTAACTATGTGACACTGGACAAGTCATTTACCTTCTCTGTGCTTTAGTTTCCTCATCTGTCAAATGAGGATAAGAGCAACCACCAGGCTGGACACAGTGGCTCATGCCTGTAATCCCAGCATTTGGGAGGCTGAGGTGGGTGGATCACTTGAGGTCAAGAGTTTGAGACCAGCCTGGCCAATATGGTGAAACCCCATCTCTATTAAAAATACAAAAATCAGGCCGGGCGCGGTGGCTCAAGCCTGTAATCCCAGCACTTTGGGAGGCCGAGGCGGGTGGATCACGAGGTCAAGAGATCAAGACCATCCTGGTCAACATGGTGAAACCCCGTCTCTACTAAAAATACAAAAAATTAGCTGGGCATGGTGGCGCGTGCCTGTAGTCCCAGCTGCTCAGGAGGCTGAGGCAGGAGAATTGCCTGAACCCAGGAGGCGGAGGTTGCGGTGAGCCGAGATTGCACCATTGCACTCCAGCCTGGGTAACAAGAGGGAAACTCCGTCTCAAAAAAAAAAAAAAAAAAAAAAAAAAATACAAAAATTAAAGCTGGGCGTGGTGGCTCACGCCTGTAATCCCAGCACTTTGGGAGGCGGAGGCGGGCGGATCGCGAGGTCAAGAGATCGAGACCATCCTGGCCAACATAGTGAAACCCCATCTCTACTAAAATACAAAAAAATTAGCTGGGCGTGGTGGCGTGCCTGTAGTCCCAGCTACTCGGGAGGCTGAGGCAGGAGAATTACTTGAAGCCAGGAGGCGGAGGTTGTAGCGAGCCGAGATAGGCCACTGCACTCCAGCCTAATGCCTGGTGAAAGAGCGAGACTCTGTCTCAAAACAAACAAAACAAAAACAAAAATTAGCCGGGCATGGTGGCACACACCTGTACTCCCAGCTACTCAGGAGGCTAAGGGAGGAGAATTGCTTGAACCCAGGAGGCAGAGGCTGCAGTGAGCCGTGAAAGCGCTGCCACTGCACTTCAGCCTGGGCGACAGATTCTGTCTCAAAAAAACAAAACACAACACAACTCTCTAAAAGGCTGGTCGTGGTGGCTCACACCTGTAATCCCAGCACTTTGGGAGGCTGAGGCAGGCGGATCACTTGAGGTCAGGAATTCGAGACCAGCCTGGCCAACATAGTCTCTACTAAAAATAAAAAAAAAAATTAGCTGGGCGTGGTGGCGCATGCCTGTAATCCCAGCTTCTCAGGAGGCTGAGGCAGGAAAATTGCTTGAACCTGGGAGACAGAAGTTGCAGTGAGCCAAAACTGTGCCAGTTCACTTGAGCTTAAGCAACAGAGTGAGACTCTGTCTCAAAAAAAAAAAAAAAAGCCAGGCATGGTAGCTCACGCCTATAATTCCAGCACTTTGGAAGGCCAAGGTGGGTAGATCACAAGGTAAGGAGTTCAAGACCAGCCTGGCCAAGATGTTGAAACCCCATTTCTACTAAAAATACAAAAATCAGATGGGCGTGGTGGCAGGCACCTGTAATCCCAGCTACTTGGGAGGCTGAGGCAAGAGAATCGCTTGAATCCAAGGGGCAGAGGTTGCAGTGAGCCAAGATCGAACCACTGCACTCCAGCCTGGGCAACAGAATGAGACTGTCAAACAACAAACCAAAAAAACCAAAAATTAGTCAGGTGTGGTGGCACATGCCTGTAGAAGAATTGCTTGAACCCTGAAGGTGGAGGCTGCAGAGAGCCGAGATCACACCATTGCATTCCAGCCTGGGCAACAAAGGCGAAACCCCGTCTCCAAAAAAAAAAAAAAAAAAAGACATTAAGTCTCTCAAGCTCACTGCAGCTGAGGAGGTACCTTCCCAGGAAACCATAAAAGCAATAAAAGAGAGCACAGGCTTTGAGGTCACTCAGACCTGGATGAACCCTGGCTTCCTTACTAAATGATAAAGCCAGACATTGTGAACAGCTGCTGAAACACAAACTCACAGGTCTTTGTAATCAAGTAGTATGGGTAACAATGCCATGTCTCCCTCATTGGCTGGGTGACCTTGGACAGGTCACTTCCCTTCAGTGAGTCTAGTTCTCTGCACTCTAAAATGGACACAGACTCGGCACGGAGGCTCACGCCTGTAATCCCAGAACTTTTGGAGGCCAAGGTGGGCGGATCAGTTGGAGCCAGGAGTTTGAGACCAGCCTGGCCAACACGGTGAAACCCCATCTCTACCTAAAATACAACAATTAGCTGGGCATGGTGGCACACATCTATAATCCCACCTACTTGGGAGGCTGAGGCAGGAGAATTGCTTGAACCCAGGAGGTGGAGGCTGCAGTGAGCCAAGATCCTGCCGTTGTACTCTAGCCTGGGCGACAGAGCGAGACTCTGTCTCAAAAAAGTAAAATAAAATAAAATAAAATGGACACAGGCTGGATATGGTGGCTCATGCCTGTAATCCCAACATTTTGGGAAGCTGAGGCAGGAGGACCACTTCAGACCAGGAGTTCTGAGACCAGTTTGGGCAGTATAGTGAGACTCCATCTCCATAAAAAAATTTAAAAATTAGCTGGACATGGTGACTCATGCCTATAGTCCAGCTACTCAAGAGGCTGAGACAGGAGGATCACTTGAGCCCAGGAGGTTGAGGTTGCAGTGAGTCATGATTGTGCCACTGCACTCCAGAGTATGTGACAGCAAGACCCTGTCTCTAAAAATAAAAAATAAAATGGGCCAGGTGTGGTGGCTCACGCCTGTAATCCCAGCACTTTGGGAGGCTGAGGCAGGCAGATCATGAGGTCAGGAGATTAAGACCATCCTGGCTCACATGGTGAAACCGTGTCTCTACTAAAAATACAAAAAAATTAGCTGAATGTGGTGGCACACGCCTGTAGTTCCAGTTACTCGGGAGGCTGAGGCAGGAGAATTGCTTGAACCCAGGAGGCGGAGACTGCAGTGAGCCAGGATCATGCCACTGCACTACAGCCTGGTGACAGTGTGAGACTCTGTCTCAAAAAAAAAAAAAAAAAAATGGAGACAGTAGTCATTTCAGCCCTCCAGAGGAGATAGATGGGAAATAACATCAAAAAACAGCAGAGTTAGTTATGCCAGCAGGAGAGCTCACATAAAGCAGGCAGCAGGGTAAGCTCTCAGCTAGGCCCTTTCCCTCCCTGGGTTGAGCGACGCACCTTTACAAACCAGACAGGCACAAAGGCCACATAGTAGGCACTCAGCATGGAGCTGACGAGCACTTCCTTCATGCGCCAGTTGAAGTCCATCTTGAGGAACTCCACCTCGCTGCGGATGAGGCTGGGTGACAGGCAGCAGGCATGGGTGGGCATGGCGTCTGGGCCATACAGCTGTCTTGTGTGCTGCTTCCACGTCTCCCGAAGCGTCAGCAGGTAGTCCCGGCTCCTCGCCAGGCCACTGACCGCCTCCCGGGGTCCCATGGAGGCCATGTGGTTGAAGAGGCTTGTCTTGCGGAGGTCACAATTTAGCTGCAGGAACGGAATGTACATCCCAAACCTGCTGGGGAAGACGGTGGTGAGGGAAGGCCTGCCCATTGGCCAGGATCCCTACTCTCGGCCACTCAGGGGATCTTCTTTCCTCCCTGGGCCTCAGCTCTCGTGGCTGCCCAGAGGGGAGAATTTACCCATCCTTCCATCCATCTGGGCAGTCACTGAGCACATGTATTACCACTCAGTATGTGCCGAGCACTGGGGTTATAGCAGAAATTCTGAGCATGGGGATACAGTAGGAAGCGAGACAAGTCCCTGTCCTCGAAGTCTAGGAATGACTCACAACAGCAACAGCCCACATTCACTGGGCACGGCCTATGTTCCAGGCACTGTACTGAATGCTTTCAGGGAAACTCTTTTTTCTCATAAGAACACTACGCGTTAGTTAATGTTATTTTCTTCCCTTTTCAGCTGAGGAAGCCATGGCTCAGAAAGGTGAAGTAAATTCCCAAAGCTTACCCGGTTAGTAAGGAAGTGAAAGGGTGGGTGGGTGGGGGGCTCAAAATCAGAAGTGTTTGGTTTCAAAGACCAAGGCACATATTCAACAAATCATTATGAGTAATTAATTAAAAGTGTATACAGCGGACAAGCACAGTAGCTCACGTCTGTAATACCAGCACTTTGGGGAGGCTGCAGTGGGAAGATCACATGAGCCCAACAGTTCAAGACCAGCGTGGGCAACATCATGAGACCCCATCTCTACAAAACAGATTTAAAAATTAGGCAGGTGTGGTGGTGGTATATACTTGTAGTCCCAGCTGCTCAGGCTAAGTGGGAGGATCACCCGAGCCTAGGGGTTGGGGCTGCAGTGACCCGTGATTGTGCCACTGCACTCCAGCCTGGGGGGCAGAGTAAGACTCTGTCTCCAAAAAGAAAAAACAAATAAAGAAAAAAAAAAACTATAGAAAAAAAAAAAAAGACTCTGTCTCCAAAAACAGAAAAAAATACACACAAAAGAGAGGTATGAGATACAGGTACATATGAGAGCAGCTCTTTAGTTGCAGAGGAGGGCAGTTCAGGAACGAATATTTATGTGTTTATCATGTACCAGGAACTGAAATGGGCCCCTGAACAGAACAAATCCTTTCCCCTGAGCAGTACCCTGAGAGCAGGGCTGGAGTTAATTAGTCAAGGAGTTTTTGTGTGTGGCTGCCATTGTATGAGGAGAACACTAGATGGGCCCATAGTCTAGAAGACTAATTACAAAAAGTGGGTAAGTGCCAAGCCCATCACAGTAGGGGCTTTTATAAACATTCCCTTTTTTCAACTTTGGGGCCTCTTAATTTCCCCAGGTCCTCAGAATTACACAACCCCACAGGGGTTACTGGGCTGCCCCCAGGTGTTAGGGCTGATCACAATGCTACATTTTTTTGTGGGGGGACAGAGTCTCACTCTGTCACCCAGGCTGGAGTGCAGTGGAACGATCTCAGCTCACTGCAACCTCCACCTCCTGGGTTCAAGCGATTCTCCTGCCTCAGCCTCCCCAGTAGCTGGGATTACAGGCACCTGTCATCATGCCCAGCTAATTTTTATATTTTTGTAGAGATGGGGTTTCACCATGCTGGCCATGCTGGTCTTGAACTCCTCCTGACTTTAGGTGATTCACCCACCTTGGCTTCCCAAAGTGCTGGGATTACAGGTGTGAGCCACCACGCCCAGCTGACAATGCTACATTTTGGGAGGCAAAGTCTGCAGTTAGCCAAGATTATGCCACTGCACTCCAGCCTGGGTGACAGAGACTCCATCTCAAAAAAAAAAATTTCCTTTTTCTTTTTTCTGGGGTTCCCAAGAAGGGATATCCGAGTATCCCCGGGCAAGTCATTTAGCCTCCCTGGGTTTCTGTTTTCCAGTCTACAAAATAGGGGTGCTACCAGTTTTCCTTTGGCAAGGCTAAATAAGATAACTTACAGAACTGTGGTAAATTCTGCTGTACAGTCCAAAACAAAAAAACAGAGAACTGTGGTCAAGAGCATAACCTTTAAGGTCAAAGAGGACTGGATTAAAATCCCAGCTCTGGGCTGGGTGTGGTGGTTCAAATCTGTAATCCCAGCACTTTGAGAGGCAGAAGTAGAGAAATTGCTTGAGCCCAGGAGATCAAGACCAGCCTGGGCAAGATGGCGAAACCCTTGTCTCTACAAAAAATACAAAAAGTAGCTGGACTACATGCCCGTAGTCCCAGCTATTTGGGAGGTGGAGGTGGTAAGATCATCTGATCCTAGGGAGGTTCAGGGCTGCCATGAGCTGAGATCATACCACTGTACTCCAGCCTGGGTGACAAAATGAGACCCTGTCTCTCAAAAAAAAAAAAAAAAAAAAAAAAAAAAAAATCCCAGCTCTGTAATTTACATTAAGTTATTTAACCTCTATGAGCCTGTTTCCTTAACTTGCCCTAAATTACATAGCTTATATTGATCCCACTCTCAGCAAGGTATTACACTAATGTTTTCATAAATACTCACTTCTAGTCCTACAACAACCCTAGCATAGTTTCCGGCCCAGAATAGATGACCAATAGAATTTTGATTAGAAAAGGAAGAGGCCGGCCGGGCGCGGTGGCTCAAGCCTGTAATCCCAGCACTTTGGGAGGCAGAGGCGGGTGGATCACGAGGTCAAAAGATCGAGACCATCCTGGTCAACATGGTGAAACCCCGTCTCTACTAAAAATACAAAAAATTAGCTGGGCATGGTGGTGCGTGCCTGTAATCCCAGCTACTCAGGAGGCTGAGGCAGGAGAATTGCCTGAACCCAGGAGGCGGAGGTTGCGGTGAGCCGAGATTGCGCCATTGCACTCCAGCCTGGGTAACATGAGTAAAACTCCGTCTCAAAAAAAAAAAAAAAAAAAAAAAAGAAAAGGAAGAGGCCAGTGATTCTACAGGGACAGGAAAAAAGACTAAAATGGGATTCCCAAAATACTCTTCAGGATATCTTGTGGTAATGAGGAGGTGGGGGCATCTATGTGAACATACATGGGTCTCTACCTTAAACTTAAAGCATCTCCCTGGCTTTGTCTCTAAGAAGGACTGCAGATAGATCCTATGATCAATTAAATTATTTGGTGGCAGACTTCTCTGACAGGTTAGAAGTTAGAAGCAGCTTCATATGCACGATAGCAGATTCCCTCCCATCTCCTCTACCCTACATGTGAGTATATGAAAATAGAAAATAAATCTGCATCAGCGAAAAAAAAAATGGGAGTGAGGGTCATCAGTGCACAATTGATTCTGACAAATTCATGTTGACAGATGAAGCAGCAGCCATTGTCTAGAGCAGCGCTTTCCAATAGAAATATGAGTCACAGCTGGGTGTGGTGGCTCACGCCTATAATCCTGGCACTTTGGGAGGCTGAGGTGGGCGGATCACCTGAGGTCAGGAGTTCAAGACTAGCCTGACCAACATGGAGAAACCCCGTCTTTACTAAAAATACAAAATTAGTCAGCTATGGTAGCACACGCCTGTAATCTCAGCTACTCGGGAGGCTGAAGCAGGATAATCACTTGAACTTGGGAGGTGGAGGTTGCAGTGAGCCAAGATCGTGCCATTACACTCCAGCTTGGGCAACAAGAGTGAAATTCCGTCTCAAAAAAAATAAAAAATAAAAAAGACGAAATATGAGTCATACAATTTAAAATTTTCCAGTAGCCACATTAAAAAGAGATGAAATTAATTTTAAAATTCTATTTTACCTAACTTGTTACATGCAAATACTATCACTTTAACATACAATGAATATTTTGAGATGTTTTACTTTCATTTCTTTTATTACGACAGCGTCTTGCTGTGTCACTCAGGCTGCTGGAGGGCAGTGGCATGATCATGGCACTGCAGCCTCAACCTCCTAGGCTCAGGAGGTGGCATGCACCTGTAGTCCCAGCTATTTGGGAGCAATTCTCTGACCTCTTGAGTAGCTGGGACTACAGGTGCGTGCCACCGTGCCCAACTAATTTTTATATTTTTTGTAGAGACAGGGTTCTGCCATGCTGACCAGGCTGGTAACATGTTTTGCCATGTTGCCCAGGCTCTCAAACGCCTGGGCTCAAGCTATCCACCCTGCCTTGGCCTCCCAAAGTATTGGGATTACAGGTGTACATTGTGCCCAGCCTTGCTGTCTCTCTCTCTTTTTTTTTTTTTTTTTTGGAGACAGGGTCTGGCTCTGTTTCCCAGGCTGGAGTGCAGTGATACAATCTGTTTACTGCAATCTCCGCCTCCTGGGGTCAAGCCATCCTCCCACCTCAGCCTCCCAAGTAGGTGGGACTACAGGTGCAGGCTACCATGCCCAGCTAATTTCGGTATTTTTGGTAGAGATGGCACTTTGCTAAGTTGCCCAGGCTGGTCCCAAACTCCTGAGCTCAAGCAATATGCCTGCCCTCAGTCTTTGAAATGTTGGGATTACGGGCATGGGTCACCGTGCCCAGCCTTCTTTTGTGTGTGTACTAAGTGTTCAGAATCCGTATTTTACACTTAGAGCACATCTCAACTCAGACTTGCCTATTTCATGTGCTCAATAACCACAGGGGGCTAGTAGCTATTCAACTGGATGGCACAGGTCTAGAATATGCCATGAGAGAACTGGACTGGAGGTGGGGGCTTATCTAGCCGGAGTGACCCAAGACAGACCCTGGCTTGAAATGGGCACATTTAATAGAAGATGAAATTAGGAGCAGGGCTGAATAAATGGGATTAAACAATGACCCATGTTTATAAGACTCAGTTCCTTTATTCCCCTACTCAACTCATACCACACACCCTGAAGGATTCTTTTCCAAAGAAATTTAATCAACTGTTAGAGAACTGAGGTCTCTAATGGGGATATCTTAGAGGAACACCCCCACCACTCCCTTTCTGGCCTAAGGGGGCTCAAAGTCTAGCCACCAGCACTGCACTCACTCATCCTCAAAGCAAAGCTTGCCAGGTGGTGTGCCCTGCCCATGTACTTAGAGCTTCCAGTCAAAGCTCTTGCCCCCTTCAACAATGACAGAGGGAAAGAAAATGCACTCCTGCTACTCAGTC